CCTCTCGCTCTCTGTGTCTTTCTCTCTCTCCCCCAACCTTTATGTTTTCCCGTCTTTTTTTTTTTTTAACCACGTACCTTCGAGCTTGTTTTAGGCGACCCTGAATTTCACTACGCTCCAAGTTTGCCGAGCCTGGGTACCACTCCGTTTTCTTTTTGGTACTCTCGTGTGTGAGGCATAGGTCTCGATAAGCCCTATTGGGCCCCTATTTGCAACAGGTCGGTCGCCCTAAGTGAAGGCAGGCCCGACAGACGACAAGAGGCCTATTTTGGACTACTTCGCAACTGAGGAAAATTCAGGCAGTTGCGCAACGCTAGTTGGTTGAAGACGTCCAGGACCTGGCCTCCTTTATCGACTGTATCTAAGTCAGGCCCTGGGCGAGATACGCAGCATAGACCCAACTCAAACAGTGGGCGGTTGGGCACGGGTAACTGTCGGTGGCCCTGGGCCTGATTCGTTTGGTCTGAGGCTCAGCCTCCCTGGGTACCGGAAACTTCTGGGCAGGGACCCAGCGCAGCCAGGCTGCACGCAAGCAGGCTGGCCACTTCCATTTAGGAAAGGGCCAGCCTACGCATTCGACATTTGGGCACTGGCTACTTTGTGCGCAAGCGCTGCTGCGCTATCGTTTGCCAGGCTCACTCGCTCACGGGCAAGCTGGAAGGAGCAGGCAATCATAGTCAAGCTATGCTGCTGTATGCTGGATGGGGCGCATGGTGGTCCTTGGGTGCAAGTGGCATCTGTGAGTTGGGGAACGAGGTTGTAAGTGATACGGGGGACATACCTGGTGCTTGACGCGTGCGGCATTGGTCAAGATCTGCTCGTGCTTCGGAAGCTGTTGACGTCATCAGCGGCATTGTAGTCTAGGCTAGATAGGAGCTTCCATTCGTAGTCTGGGCGTCGAGCGCCAGATAGGATGTCAACATTGGTTCTTCGTTGATGATGATGAGACTGTTCCAACATTGTCAATTATGAGCTTTTGTTGTGCTTTTATTTGGTGAAACTCGTGATGCAATTCTGCTATTGGTTCGAGGTCACGACTATCTGATGCTGTTTGATTTCTGAAGTTCGCTATTGCTCATCCTCCTTGCAATTTGGTATTGGAGTTGTGGTTCGGTGCGCTAATCTGGCGCTTATCTTCTGCCTAATCGATACATGCACGGGGTGTGTGCGGTGAGCGATCGTGCCGTGGGACGTGTGTAGTGAGGAGGGCGAAGATAAGTTGGCGACACAGGTGGAGAGGGGTTCGCACGAAGGCTATGTGGTGTGATTATTGGGTGTTCACAGTGTGATGAGAACTATCCGGTGTGTGATTGATGCTGAGGTGGAACGGTTGTGCAATGCTGGTCGTGCCGAAGCAGCGATTGGTCATCACAATCAACATCGGGTCATCTGGTGAGAATATCTGTGGTTGGGGGCAGCTATTTTGAGGTACGTTGCACCTAACCTTATCTACCCTCTTCGACACTTCTTACCGTGAGGATGTGTGTTCTATCTTGAGAGTCCTGTCATGTGAGGAGTCGTGTGCGCTCAAGCTTGAGAGTCGTCAATCTTCACGTGGAGCATCTGGAAGGAGAGGGCGGTGCTATCTGAAGGGCCTTGGACGAAGCACTGGGTCACGGTCACCATGCCAACCCACCGGGAGTAGAGCACGCGTGCTTTGCTGCTTTGTCTTTTGTCTGCTCACTGCGCTGTAGAGGGGTTTTGAAGGGCAGGCCAGCTTTAGGGGGCAGACGAGACCGGGCGTCTATAAATAGGCATCAGCGGGGTACCTTCCATTGGCTGTAATCGTCGTCCTGTCTGCGACGTTAAATAATTCATGAGGACTTTGGGGGCCGTCCATATATACGCCTCCTGATCAGCCAATCGGGTGGTGTAAGGCTCGCAACACGCGAGGAGAAATACTGTGCAGGGCTGGCCAGCTCAGCAAAACTCGGGGCACAGGGTTGGGCCGTGTGCACACCTTTAGACACACACGCTGTCCGGATTGCTCAGGGACTTTGACAACAAGAGACATTCAGGAAGAATTGAGGGAGTGGTAGATTCCAGGTGATAAGTTTGGGCAAGATCCCATTCTGCAAACAGACCCAACAAACGATTCTATTTTTATTTTGATTAGTTAGACGTACAACCATTAACATCTGACAGACATCATTAGTTAGAACTGTTTTCTGTTCCTTGTGCTTCTGTTTGCGGACTAGTCAAAGTAAAATAGTTTTCGTTTGTAGGAATCTGAACTTACCTGTTGGACCCAAATGTACATTCTCTGAAACAGCCACCGATTATTACTTTCATTATAAATCGGTCTGTACATGTCGCTGCAGTAGGCACCAATTGAGTGCCCCAATGCAAACGGTGTGCAGTTCTGTAGTTTATGAGCAACGAGGAGGTCCCACAACCGGACAATAGGCTCTTGCGATCGGCTAGACGCCCGATTGCCCATTTGGCATTAGGACCACAGGGCGAGAGATACTTGTTCCGCCCACAGAGAGAGAGGCAGCAGCAGCAGAGAAGAGCTAGGGACGCAGAGGAAAGTAGAGCATTCACAAGAGAAGCTGCTACTTCAGCAACCATGGCCACTGCTGCGCAGCAAACTTCTCAGGCTAGTGGTTCAGGTTTTGTGGGGTCAACGGTCGCACAGACCGTGAGTCAGTCCACTGGCGTCTTGGCAAGCCAGCCATTAGTGTTGACTTCCGATGAGATCGCCATACAACAGGCAGCACTGCAGGAGGCACAGCTACAGAAGGCTTTAGGAGAGATTAAGGTAGAGAAGGAAAGAATGATTAGGAGAAGAGCCAGGATGCAGCGGAGACAAGCGGACATCAGTGAGTTAGACGGGATGGACCTAGCAGAGTTGGATGATGATTTGAGGACCCTCAGGTCGGTCTTGCTAGGTGTAGTGGAAATGCAAGATCATTAGACGACGATCTTACAGGACATCCAACAGAGTCTAGTCGTGTTGGTCGGGCGAGCTCAAGCGGCGCCATCGCTGTTCGGGCCCGGCGCCTGGCCCGTTGTACATCCTCCTCCTTTTGTCCCATCGGTGACTGGGGTATCCCCATACATAGCTTCAGCATCGGTCCAGTCCGCTTCCCTGAGTATGCCTATGACAGGTTCTCAACAAGTCCTAGTGTACAGATTCCTGTACAGACAGTGTTTTCCCAACCACCGTCGCAGGTTGTCATAAGCGTGCAGCCTGCTGTCTCGCAGCCTGCACAGCCGCAGGGTACACAGCCCCTGCAACAGCCTGCACCACAGGGTCCACAGCCCGGAATGGTACAGGCACCGGGACAAAGTCAGTGGGTTCCAAAGACGGCCATTGCCGCTCCTAAACCCTTTACAGGGGATAAGAGGGGCGAAAACCTCGACGCATGGTTGAGGGCAGTGCCAGTCTATGTCAAGTGCAAACTTACATTGCCGCACGAGGAAGTGCTTGTGGCTGCCTCCTATCTAGAGGGGAGTGCAGCAAGATGGTTGAGTGGTTTAGTGCAGCTCCAGGGGTACGTTCATGACTTTCGCGCTTGGGCGGTCACCCAGAAACTGGACGACCTTCTCAAGTTGGTGGACGACAGGTGGCATGATCCTCAGGAGGCCCAAAAGGCTACTGACGCGATCCTGACACTGCACACGAGGCAGTTTAAGTCAGTAAGAGAGGCCACTGACGCGGTAGAGCGTTTGATCTGTGTCCGTGGAGTGCGCTTTGACCCCCAGGTTTTACTCACCTCCTACCTGAGATGCTTTCCCATGCCTCTCAGGAATCAGTTGGCAGGTGACGCCAACATCAACACGCACAACTTCCCGTCGTTTCGCAAGAAGGCCCTAGACTTGGAAGCAAAGATAGGGCATGGACAGACTCCCACGACGGATGGTAGGAAAAAGTCACTGCCTCCCAACTGGAAAGCGAAGGGACGCATCATGTTCGTCGACAACGATGGTTCCACCATCAAATTGGATGACGACTTCCAGGCGGGAGTAGGTTCAAAGGCGGGCAGCGTAGAAGCTTCAGGGGGTGGAGTAGTCGCTGCCGTAGCTCAAAGAGGTGAGGCGACCGGTAGAGGCCGAGGAGGTTCCCGATCTAGGAGTCAAGTAGACCCCAATGCTCCTCCATGGGAGAAAGCGGGTCTCAGTGAGGACGTGTGGAGAGATCGGTACACGCGGCAAAATGGCCACAACCAATTCAAGTGTCGGAATAAGAAGGTGACCGAAAAGATCCCGCCTACGATGGGGCAGACGTTGGGATCCTCACTCCCATTGGTAGCAATGTGGCCAGCAGTTCTAGCACTGCTCCGGGAAACACGTCGGGCCAGTAGGAATAGTAGTTGTCCCTGCTAGGGTCGAGGTGGTGGACACACCTCCATCTCGAGAGATGGCCCAAGCTACTGACTCCATCGTCGTCCCGCAAGCACATTCAGACCCATCGAGCCTTTGTTCGATGAATGTGTTTGAGTCCTTAGAGGAGCTAGAGGTGTGGTCTAGATCAGACCCACTAGCTTCTTGGACGACATTGGTCAAAGCCCCTAAGGGTGAGATGTTCGTCAGCGAGGTAGTCATCGGCGGCCGCAAGGACGGGGCCTATTATGACACTTGCTCGACTAGGAACTTCATTAGCCGCGCGTGCGTTGAGTGGTTGCGCTTACAGGGGCGAGTGCAGCGCCTGAGTCGACATGTGGAGTTGACCTGTGCCAACAAACAACACATGGTAGTTAATGGCTACCTCCAGAATGTTGAGTGTTATTTCCCGTACGCGGGAGGGGAACTGAGACATCATGTTTCATTCCTAGTAAGCGATGATCTCCCCATGGATATCTTGTTGGGTATGTACTACCTCTCCGTAGCACAGCCCCAGTTTGACTGGGACCGAAAAGTGGTCAAACACACTTTGCCAGGTGGAGGGACCGCCAGATTACGTAAGTTCAAAGCTAGTAGTCGGATCGAGTCCTACAGATGCATGTGTGCGGCCGCGTTCTATAATTATTATAAGAAACAAGGGGACCCGCCGCGGCTTCGCCCACGGCAGACCAGGAGGTAGGAGGAAGAAGGGTCCATACAGAACGAAGGAGAAGTCAAGGCGCAGGTTGAAGAATGAACGAATTACAGAACGGGTCTGAAAAGAACGAACCAATCATTTGATAACAATGTAGGATAAAAACAATGCTATGAATCAATCATTTGATAACAACGTAAAACCAAAACAATGAAGTCGTGAAGTCTTCAATAGAGCAAGCGAACGCACATGACAATTTGTATCTGCGTTTTTGTATGAGGAGCCGAGTTCATCGTAGTAGTCTCTGCGAGTCGCTGCAATTCTTGTGATGTCGTGCTGGACCGAGTTGCCACAATGCTTGTGTCGTTGGCGAAGCTCCCGCTAGTCTTCATGTCGGACGGCGGGAGGAGGTCGGACGTTGGAGGAATGAAACCACTCTTTGGACAATGTCCGCCCTGTAGATGTGGAAGGGAGGTAGTTGGCATTGTGCATCGCGGTGATGGACGATAATGAGATCGCTGAGATGTTCCCAAGTTCAGGGGGAGCAGGGAATGTTGTAAATGGAGATGGTGTGGCGGGAAGTGAGTATGTCGTGGATCATTGTTGTGCATGTGTACATCCCCATCGTTCGAGTGGCTTCCACCAGTGAGGGTCTATTTCGTGAGTTGGTAAGAGAAGGGGAGGTGGTGTGGGCTGCGTAGAAGCGATGAAGGCATATTTGTGGCAGGCATCGAGTATGCGATCGTGTTGGTACTTTGCGAGGCCTGCGCGAGATCCTGTAGATCGGTAATGGTCACGCTGGAGCAGTTGTAAGAGAAATGTCTTGGAGCGGGTGAATGTTGTATTTGCAGAGGGATGAGGTGGTGGACGATTTAGTTCTTGTTCACGCTTGTGCTTGTATGAAGCGAAGAATGCATATAGAGAGGGAGAAAAAGCAGCGTGATCTGTTGGCAGGAAATCTTCCCAAAGAATCTGGTCAATGATGTGTTCTATAGTGTCAGGATGGAGTACGTGGTGTTACGCGTCCCATTTGTTGTACTCTTGGGGGTCGTCTTCCGGAGTGGATTGTGATTGGTAATGTGGTCGAAGGGGCGTGTGAGTAGTGGCAGGCGTTGTGATAGTTGCAAGTGCATTCGTTGGAGCAGGCAGCGAAATGTCAAGTTGGCTGAGAGTCACGTTGTCTAAGCCATGTCGCTCAAGAAAAGACGGATCAGTTAGCAGAGACGATGTATGAGATGTAGATTGAAGTGGAGTGGTTAGGGAAGTTGCGGGTGATGAAGGTGGAGGTGTATGTGGCAAACATTTTGTGGCAGGCAAAGATGTGGACGTACGAGTAGCAACTGGAGTCGTGGTTGTCAACATGCTGTCATTTTTGTCAGGGAGAGTTTTACTTTTTTTCGTTGGCGGCGTTGTCGTCGAAACATATGTACACAGATCGATGGAAAGCAAGGAACAACGATGTGAGTATTATGCCAGTATTTCTTTGTATACAATGTTTGTTGATTGGTTAGCATCGTTGGGATGTGCAAAACGAATATGGGACGGGTCTCCGACACGAGAGGCAACGACGTAGAGTTGGCCGTCGGCAAAGGCGTATTGCTGAAGATCAATTCCGGCATGTTTGATGGATTGGCCTTGGGATTTGTTGATAGTTATCGCAAATGCAGGTCAGACAGGAATTGTCTTCTTTGCCAAGGGAAAGGGCTGCTTTGATCAGTGACAGTCAATAGAGTGCGTGGGAGGAGAACCGGTCGTAGCGAAGGAAGGGTGCGTGCATGCAGGAGCCTGTTGTTGGTAATTTCATCAACGATCAAGCGTGTTCCGTTGCACAAACCATTCCGCATAGCGATATTTCGCAAGACAATAACGGGTGCCCCTTTTTTCATGTGGAGAATGTGTGGTGGTAGGGAGGGGAGGTCCAGGGTGTTGAGAGTGTCTGTAGAGACGTCAGGATAGTTGTCATTCGGGAGGAGTGTATCAGCACCGAGTGACGTGATCAGAGGCCCCGGAAATTTGTTTAATATGATAGTGTTGAGGGTGGCGACTGTTTTGTTTTTGGGCGCCAGGATCAGGTGCTCAGCAAGCCATAGAGGGTTGTTTGAATTTGTTGAGAGGGCAAGAAAGGTCCATCCAACGAGGTCTGTTGTTCCTCCATGAAGGGACAGGTGAGGGGTGAGTTCGATGGTTGGTGTTGTATTATGTGGAGGAATAAGTTCGCCGTTGCCGAGGCGCGGCAACCATGCGGCATAATTGCGTGCTTCGGCGGTGTTGCTTTGAGTGAGTACACGCATGTTTTCAGAAAGGTGGATTGTCTCAAAGCAACGCCATAGTTTAGAGGATTTTATGCACGCGTTGATTGTTTGCGAGCGGGTTCCTTTTGTGATGACAGGGAGAATCTGTCGGAAGTCACCTGCGAGAACGATAATTTTCCCTCCAAATGGTTGGTCGGATGAACAAATATCTTGCAAAGTCATGTCAAGCGCTTCTATGTGGTATCTGTGCATCATTGGGGCTTCGTCCCAGACGAACACAGCAGCCATTCTTATGAGTTGTGCCAAGGTGCTCTGTTTGGGAATGTCAAGAGTTGATGTTTCTGTAGGCGTAAGTGGTGCTTTGAAGCGAGAGTGAAAAGTACGGCCGCCGCCCAAAAGTGTAGTTGCGATGCCGCTAGATGCGACAGAAAGTGCTAGCTGGTCATGGAGGCGTATATGCGCTAGTATGTGTTGAGGCAGAATGTTTTGCCAGCTCCTGCAGGCGCATCAACAAATAGACAGAGGGGCTCAGCATTTTTCGCAGCATTAATTACACGTTGGAATACTGCATGCTTTGACGGTGTGAGTCGTGGGAGATTCATATCAAGTGTACGTTGTAGCTCTTGTTTGTCGTATGATATCTCATCATCTATCAGCCTAGGAATTCCTTATCGACGTGGTTTTTGGGAAATGTGAGTCGCTTCATTCCGATCTGCAGGAGTGGGTGGGTTAAGGCCGACGTCTAAGTTCCTTCGCTTCTTTTTGCAGGCGGCTTTCGATGTCTAGGAGTACCATGGTTTTTAGAATGTCGTTTGAGACATGTGCTCCGGTGAGGTCTCTACGGAAATCGTCAATCATACGGTCCCAGTGCGTTTCGAATAGTTCATTTGGGTCGGCTGGGGCACAGTGCAGAATGATATGGACAAAAAGATCGCGCACCATCGGTGAGGATGACGTGAAAACAGCATCATCGAGAACAACATCGAATTGTGTGTGGATGCATTTTGGAATGTTGGATGGACCTCACTGTTAACTGTACGCAAGTTTTCGAATGATGTCGCACTGTGAGAATGAGGAGAATTGAGCAGCATATGGAGGTAGAACGTGTCACCTGCATTTGGATGGATGGTGTGGATTCGTCCAATTGTATTAGCAGAGCGTTGTTTCAGAACCCACTTTTTCTTTTTCTGGTCAAATCGGAATCTATGAACCATGTCTTTATAGAGTGGTTTACTGTCTTTAGGATCGTGGAGTCGTGCAGCGTTCCACTTGAACCATGCGGTGAGTTCGGTTTCAGGGGGTGGATTGTGTGCTATGTGTTGAGCATGATGCTCTCTAAAGTATATGCGTTGTTTATTTCTGTATGAAGCAGTAGCGCAGTTACAGGAGGGTAGCGTTCTGATAGCGGAAATTCGGGATTGCACGATCGCGTCCTTTGAGAATATACTCAAACATGTATCGGCAAGCTGTTGTCGATGCACAAATCTCGTTTTTCGAAGTGATCGCTTCGGTGCAAAATTAATTGGAGCGGGCTGTGGTATTGAGGTGACATCGATATCGTAGGAGGAGATAGGGGTTGTAAGGTACCACCCAGGAGTTATCGATCAGTTCATCGTGATGGACAGTAGTAATTCCTCCATCTGACGGTGAACGCGACGATAAATGGGATATCCTGTTTCTTCGTTTTAGGTGGTTTGGTCTGAAAAGTCTTTGGGGAAGTAACGCATGCAACGATCGTTGTGCATGCAGGAAGCTTGCGGATTACGTGCACCACACAGGTTGTGGATCATGTGAGTTAAGACGAGGTCACGCAATTCGGCGTTTTGCGGTAGTTCAACACAAACAATGCTATCTATTTGTTCAGGTGTGGAAATCTTCTCCTCCAATCCCGGTTCCCTCCCGTGCCGAAGCCCCCTCGGACTCCAACTCGATCAGCAAACTAGCAATGCCAACCCCCCCAAACCCGATTTCAACTGAATAAGTTGCGGAGAGAAAAAAAAAAAAAAAAAAAAAAATGCACAACGTTTTTCTCCCCGATCTGGTCCGAACCTCCCCCTCGTTGCATGCATCCCCCTCTGAGAGAAGAAACTCTCTCTCTCTTTGAACCTTCCCCTGTCGCCGATTTTAATCTCTCTTCTCCTCCAATCCCGACTCCCTCCCGTGCCGAAGCCCCCTGG